GGAATTAGCATCAGATTCACAGGTTAAGGGTTCAGTCCTACAGGCCGGTACCCCCACCCTCAACCCCCTGCCATTTCAGATGCCAGCTGCAAGCCCAGGCTGTTACTGGTGCTTCCCACCGACTGGTTATAAATCAGAGGTTTCCAAGACCCCTTCTCCTCAGGTTTAACTGATTTGCTAGAATGGTTCACAAAACTCAGAGAAACATTTTTCTTCCTAGATCACCGATTTATTACAAAAGGGTATTAACTCAGAAACAGCCAAAATGGAAGAGACGCACACGGCAAGGTATGAAAACAGGGCACAGAGTATCCTTGCAGTCTCCAGGTGCACCACTCTCCTCAAATCTCCAGGTGCTTACCAACCCGGAAGCTCTCTGGACCCTGTCCTTGAAGGGTACTTTGGAGGCTGCATCATATAACCATGGCTCATTCAGTCGCTGGCCACTGGCTATTGGTTCGACCTCCAGCCCATCTCCCTTCTCCCAAGGAGTAGGGTAGGGAAGGGAAGGGTAGGGTAGGGTAGGATAGCGTGGGGTGGGGTGGGGTGGGGTGGGGTGGGGTGGGGTGGGGTGGGGTGAGGTTGGGGGGAGGGGAGGGACTTAAAGTTACAACCCTCTAATCACCTGGTTGGTTCTCCAGGCAACCAGCTTAGGTGCTTCCAAAACTCACCCCATTCGTAGGACAAAACACAACTTTACCACTGTCAACACTTACGAAATTCCAACAGTTTTTGGAAGCTATGAGCCAGGAACTATGCACTAAGACCAGATATATAGCAGAAATACATTTTGGTCACCTTAACAAATACGTATTTCTTTAAGTCACCAAATCGCAGCCCCTCCCATCCCCGCCCCTTCACGGATTTCAGCTGCTCACGCCGTCCCTGCCAGCGACCCTCCCCCTCACCCCTCGGCCCCGGGTCCCGACTCAGCAGCCCCTACCGGCGGGCGGGACCGGGACCAGAACAAGAACGCCCTCTGCTCGCGCCTGGGGGCCTGACCGCGGGGAGCTAACGGGACGCTCCTCCATTCTGGCCTCGCCCTCCGGGCGGGGGCGGGCGGCCGAGGGCCCCGGGGTCGCAGCACACACCTGCACTGGCTTCACGCGCGCGGCCTCCTCCTCCGACCAGTGGGAAGAGCGGGGCGGAACGCGGCAGGCGACCCGGCGGGGACGAGGGCGCCTCGCAGCCGCCTCAGCGGCGGGAACATCACCTCCTCTGGAACCTTGCATCCGCTTCGAAGGAACCCAGCGTCCCCAAGACCCTGCACCAGTCAAACGGCCCAAGAACTCGAAGACGCGCAACACCAGGGGAACGCCACCGGAAGTCCCGCCCCACAGGCGCCGCTACCGGAATCCATGCTGCGTTTTCATTGGCTCGGCTCTCACGATGGCCTGCCGCGGAGCCTTCTGGGTAGCGTGTGGTTCCCTGGGGCTCCCCGCCCCGTCGTGGGGAATGAGGTCCTTCCTGATTTCGGGATGGACGCCGCGGGACAACGTGAGCCTGCCCGGGGAAATGGAGTTCCTGGACTCCTGTGATGCAGCATGGGGTCGCTGACTCTTACAGCGTATACCCAGATTTCCTCTGAATGCAGCCTAGGCCAAGTGTCCCAAATAGAGGTCTGTTACTACAGACTCTGGGAAGCACAGGAAATTCCCAAAGGCTACACCACCAAAGGGACACACCAGACTATTGTTAAAAAATAAAATTCAACGAGTAATTTTGCAAATCTAATTGGCTTTACTAAATACCTCATCAACAGGCTGCGTCCCATCTAGCAAGTAGAGGGGATCTCTGAGGAGTTGTACACAATGGAAGATTTTATAGGGAGGAGGTTGGGGGCAGAAAGTTATTAGCAAAAGGATTTTCAGGCAAGGTTGCTTTTCCTTAGGGGGACAGCATGCAGATGACTTTCATCTTCCTTGGAGCATGGATGAGGGCCCATGTAGCAGATTACTACATCAGCACTGATCAGAAAATTCCTGACTAACTGGTTAAGTCTACATTTCTGGAGGAGGTTGAAATTGCAATTAGATTAGGTATTAAGCCCCAGTTTGGGGACTCAGCCTACGTGCACCATTTTGAGTCTGTGATTTTCTTTTTAACTTCATAATAATAATCAGCAGCCACTCATATTGATTGCCAAATACATGTCAACTGTTTTATGACCTTCAATATGCAAGGTGAGGGACGAAAAAGAAAAAACCCTAGACAGGGCATGATGGGGAGTTGGAGAAGGGATATTTCTCTGGCCTGGATAATCAGTGTTCAGACTGTGTTCCAACCTAGCAAGTAACACTTTTATTGAGATCATACTTAATACTTCATTTCTTAGATATGTTCCATTTCTTTTGTTAACCTTAAAAGTGCCAATTATTTTGCCAGCAAAAGATGGGTTTGAGGCCAGCTGAGAATTGTAACCTGGTACAAGCAAGATTTGGCAAAGCCATAGGCAAGTCTGGAGAACAAAGAAGGAGACCTCTCTTTTACAGAGGGAGTTGGGCGGAGACGTTATAAACTACAAGTCCATCGGAGTAAACTGGGAGTTATAATAGATTCTCATTATCTGAGCTATGACTGCCTCTCATTGGCTGGGCTGTTGAGGGTGGGAGTAGAGGAAGAAAGCTTTCTTCCGCCTGATGGGATAGTAAAGAGGACTGGACTTGCAGGATCCACCTTTACTCTTCTTGTTGGGTGTGAGTTTGACAACTAGTGGTGAGATTAAGAGCGGGGCTCGAACTCACTAACTGTGAGATCATGGCCTGGGCTGAAGTCGAATGCTTAACCGACTGAGACACCCAGGTGCCTCATTCATCCATATACTTTTAATCTGTACAGATAGGTCTTTATATTTAAGGTGGGTTTCTTGTAAACAACATATTGTTGAGTCTTGGGTTTTGATCCACTCTGACAGTCTTTGATTGGTGCATTTTGACATTCAAAGTCTTGATATAGTTGGATTAATAATCTGTCACATTGGTTATTGTTTTCTGTTTGTTGCCCTTGTACTTTGTTCCTATTTTTGCCTTCCACCCATTTTCTCCCTTTTGTAGTTAAAAAAAAAGTTTATCTGTTTTGAGAGAGGGAGAGAAATAAAGAGCAAGCAGAGGAGGGGCAGAGGGAGGGAGACAGAGAATCCAAGCAGGCTCAGCACAGAGCCAGACTCAGGGCTTGAACTCACCACAGGTGAGATCATGACTTGAGCTGAAATCAAGAGTGAGGTGCTTAACCAACTAAGGCATCCAGGTACCCCTTCCTTTTGTAGTTTTAATTGAGCATTTTATGCATTCCATTTTCTCTCCTTTCTTAACAGTTGTACTTGTTTACTTTGGTGGTTGCCCTAGAGCTTACAGTATACATCTACAGCTAATCTAAATCCACTTTCAGATAACACTACCATTTCACAGGGAGTGTGTGTGCCTCAATATAACAAAATAATACTAATTCCTCTGGTCTCCTTCCTTGCATCGTTCCTGTTATTCATTTTAATATATTCACACACATATATACTCTAATACATTTTTGCTGTTTTTTGACAAATTGTAATGTTAGATAATTAATAAGACAATTCTTTTTTTAATTTTTTAAAATGTTATTTATTTTTGAGACAGAAACAGAGCATGAGCAGGGGAGGGGCAGAGAGAGAGAGACACACACACAGAATCTGAAGTAGGCTCCAGGCTATGGGCTGTCAGCACAGAGCCTGATGTGGGGCTCGAACTCACGGACTGTGAGATCATGACCTGAGTTGAAGTGACACCCAACCGAGCCACCCAGGTGCCCCAAGACAATTCTTATTTTACCTTCACTTCTTCCTTTTCTGATGCTCTTCCTTTCGTTGTAGATCTGAGATCCTGAGCTATATACCATTTTCCTTCTCTCTAAAGAACTTTTAACATTTCTTTCAAGGCAGGTCTACTAGCAACAAACTCTCCATTTTCGCTTGAGAAATTCTTTACTTCTCCACTTTTGAAGGATGACTTCACGGGGTACAAAGTTCTAGATTTGTGGTTTTTTTCCTCTCTCAACACTTTAAATACTGCACCCCACTCTTACATGGTTTCTGAGAAATTGGATGTCGTTATCTTTGCTCCTCTAGAAATAAAGTGTTTCCTTTCTCTGACTTGTTTCAGAGGTTTTTTTTTTTTCCTATTATCTGTTATTTGAAAATACTATTTCTGGGTGTAGTTTTTTTCTTTTAGCATCTTTCCTGCTTGGTGTTCTCTGAGCTTCCTGGATCTGTAACTGGATGTCTAAATTTGGGTAAATTTGGGGGAAATTCTCAGTCGCTATTGTTTCAAGCATTACTTCCATTCCTTTTGGTCTTTCTTTCCTTCTGGCATCGTCATTATGTACCTGTCACACTTTTTCAGTTGTTCCATAGTCGTGAGCTTTATGAAACAAAATTTTCAATGTAAACATAAACTTGTATGTAATTACCTTAATTTTTGCATTCTTTTGTACATGGTGAGGTTTGAAAGATACAGAGTGGAGTCTTGAATCATTTCCCTCCCACGTATCACTCCCAAACTGTTTTCTTTCCGTTTCCTATTCTATAATGCTTGTTACCCTTTCTAAAGTTCAAGTTTCTCAATGAGCCACCTGGTTTGAAGATTACATGATGAAAAGATGACCTCAAGCAAGAAATCCTACCAGCAGACTGCCTTTGGACCTGAACTGCAACTCTTCCGTGGTCCCCAGCCTGTTGGCCTGCTCGGTAGATTTTCCACTTGCCGGGCCATCACAAATGCTTTAGCTAATTCTTTAAAACACATATCCACCCCCAGCCCTCCACACCTCTCTCTACACACACACCCTGATGCTTCTCTGGAGAGCCCAATACACCACAGAACTGAACACTTAAAAATGGCAAGATAGTAAATTTTATGTGTACTTTACACAAAAAATTTTGTAAATGCTTTAGAAACTTTTATGATACAAAGATATAGCTTAAAGACACTACTAGAAAAAAAGAAGCCAAACAAGAATTTTCCAAGAAAGGTGTTTCAGATCGTTCAAGATTTTTTATTGATAATGAATTCATATGAAACTGAATTTAAATTTATTTTCTCTAAACTTCATTTTCCATTCTAAACAACTCTTATACTCAGTGATTATTAGCACCTTTGTTGTTTATGAACAGTGCAGCTCTACTACATAACACAGAGCCTTGCCGGTTATCTAGTGCCATGCTTCTGCACACACAACATGGACAATACTAAAAATACATATATGTGCTTAGTAAACACAGCTATACAAGAGTAAGCGTAGGATTCTATTTATATAAAATTCTAGAAAATGCAAATGACAGTGCCCACCTGGGGATAGCAAGTTGCGTAGGACTGGGAGAGAGAGAGTACAAGGGACCGATGGAAACTATACATAGGGGTTATGGATTATTCATTATCATGGCTCTGGCAATGCTCCCATTGTGCATACATATATGAAAATATATCCTACACCTTCAATAAATGCAGTTTAACGTATGTCAATACCTCCATAAAGCTGTTAAGAAATAAAGATACCATATAAAATCTGGATCTCCTCTTCCTCCCGAAATATCACATCTGGCAAAGCTGTACTGACTCCATTGACACACTTCCCAATATCTTATTAACTCTGATTCTTTCTCAAAACAGAAGGAAATGCTGACAAATGAGGAAACTATGCTAAGCAAAATAAGCCAGTCACGAAAAGACAAATACCGTATGATTCCACTTACATGAGGTCTCCAGAGCAGTCAAATCCATAGAGACACAGTATAAAAACACAGCTGCCAGGTGTGGTGGGTGGCGGGTAGAAGCTTGTCTCGTGGGTCTAGTTTCAATTTGGCCAGATGAAAGGAATTCTGGAAATAGGTTGCACAAATGTGTGAAATTTTTAACACTACTAAGTGCACAGAGAGAGGGTAAGCTGTGTTAGGTGTGCACAACACACATGTAAAATAAAGAACTATATTACAGTGGTTCCCAGGGATAAATGAGAGCCGGTATTTGGCTGAAGTCTTTCCCCCTTTGCAATGTTCTCTGGTGTGAACTTTTTGGGGCCAAAAGAGGTTGGACTTTTAGATGAACAAACGCCCGTATTTGTTGCACAGATAAGATGTTCTTCCATTGTGAATTCTCTGAAGTGGAATGGGGCTGGAGTTGCACCTAAAGACCACACTGACTACACTCCAAGGTGTTCCTCCAGTGACTTCTTGATGTCTAATGAATGGCGAACTGCACCAAAACAATTTCCCACGTTCACTACCCAGCAAAACCTTGGATTGTGAGTAACTTGTTCTGCAACTATTGCTCAAGACTAGCAAATATTTCTCATGAATTTTAACTTGATAAATGAGCTACGTCTTGCAATACAAGTAGTAAGTGACGCCGAACATCCCACGATCACAACTGGGCCAGTGGTTCTTGAAATTTGCTTTGATATATGGGTGCTCCGGATTGCAAGCATGTTTCTGGAAGGAATTATACTCTCAAACCAAGGTTTTACTGTACTTCTAAGGTGCTTCTCCAGGGTAATGAGCTTAAAGTGGTACCTAAAAGATTCACCATATTCTCTGCATTTACAAGTTGCTTTACGAGTGTAATTCTCCACTAATGGGTTGGAGTTGTATCTAAAGCCTTCTCCACATTTATGGTGCTCATAGATCTGTCTTCATTGTGGATTTTCTGGTGATGAACGAGGTGGGACTTTCTAATGAAGGCCTTCTGACATTTGCCACACTCATACGGCCTTTCTCCAGTGTGGATTTTCTGATGCTCAACAAGTATATGCTTGTGGCTAAAGGCTTTCCCGCATTCACTGCACTCATAAGGCCTCTCTCCAGTGTGATTTCTCCAGTGTTTAATAAGGTTGGAGTTGTACCGAAAGAACTTCCCACACACGCTGCACTCATAAGGCCTTTCTCCAGTGTGAACTCTCTTATGTCTAATGAGTCTGCAGTGGTACCTAAAGGATTTCCCACATTCGCTGCACTCATAAGGCCTTTCTCCAGTGTGATTTTGCCAATGTTTCATGAGTTTGGACTTGTACCTAAAGAATTCCCCACACAAGCTGCACTCATAAGGCCTTTCTCCAGTGTGAACTCTTTGATGTCTAATGAGCGTAGAGGTGTACCTAAAGAATTTCCCACATTCCCTGCACTCATAAGGCCTTTCTCCAGTGTGAACCCTCTGATGTTTAATGAGTGTGGAATTGTACCTAAAGAACTTGCCACATTCATTGCACTCATAAGGCTTTTCTGCAGTGTGAACTCTCTGATGCCTAATGAACGTGGAGCTGTACCTGAAAAATTTCCCACATTCGCTGCATTCATAAGGCCTTTCGCCAGTATGAACCCTCTCGTGTCGTATGAGTCTATAGTTGTACCTAAAGAATTTTCCACATTCTCTACATTCATAAGGCCTTTCTCCATTGTGAAGTTTCTGATGTTTCATGAAGTTGGCATTGTACTTAAAGAATTCCCCACATTTGCTACATTCATAAGGGCTTAATCCAGTGTGAACTCTCTGGTGACTAACGAGTGTGGAGTTATACCGAAAGAATTTCCCACATTCACTGCACTTAAAAGGCCTTTCTCCAGTGTGGATTTTCTGGTGCTGAACAAGGTGGAACTTTCTAATGAAGGCCATCCCACATTTGCTGCACTCGTAAGGTCTTACTCCAGTGTGGATTTTCTGGTGCTCACCAAGTACCTGTTTTTGCCTGAAGGCCTTCCCGCACTGAATGCACTTGTAATCACTCTGTCTGCTTTCAAAGGCCTCCCCGCACTCGGGGTCCCTGTGTGGTTTCAATGCACTGCGAGGGGTCAGGTGCTGGGGCAGGCCTGTGCCGGCCGGAAAGTCCTTTCCGTCTTTGCAGCACGTGCAGCTACTCTCTGCCACGTGAACACTGTCGTTCGTTGCAGAGGAAGGCCTCCCCTCCTCCCTTCTAGAAAACTGGTCTTCAATCCATTCCTTTTGGTTTGCCCCACAAATATATAGTTCCCGATCAGAGTACATTCCATCCTGCTCAGCCGAGGGCAACATGTCTTTCTCACACTGGGCCTCCTGGACGGAAGAGTCTGGCTTTGGAGTCCTGACCTGTGATGCCTCCTCGTCCTGTGCTCCATGCCAACAACCTGTAAGCAGAGAAATGCTGGTCAATCGCAGGCCGACTTTGGAACAAGACAGCCTCATCGGGAATTCGTGTCGGACACACCCACGAATGAAGCCATGGGACTGCTCACGGGCCAAGGGGCCTCGAGACGGTGAGACGAAGGCCCGCTGTGCAGAGCTCAGCCTGGCCAGTGCCCACGATGGAACAGCCCTGACTCTGGGGAAGGACACAAGGGGGGGTGGGGGGCTGTCTAAGTCCATGCGGGCTACTATGACAAAACACCACACACTGGGTGGCTTATTATAAACAATAGCGATTTATTTCTTGCAGTCCTGGAGGCTGGATCAGGGTGCCGGCATGGTGGGGTGAGGGTCCTCTTCCAGGCTGCCAACCTCTCACTGTGTCCTCACATAGCTCAAGGGACTAAGGGGTCGGTGGGGTCTCTTCTACAAGGGCACTAAGTCCACCCATGAGAGCTCTGCCCTCACGACCGGGGCGCCATCTCCTAACACCACCACGCTGGGCACGAGGTTTGCAACACAGGAATCAGTGGTGGGGGGTGAGAGCACAAACACTTAAAACACAGCAGGTGGTGTGTAGGGAGGGGAGGCAGGGATTCAGGTCACTCCTGGGCAAAGGGCTATGTCTGCTGGTGACTGGTGAGCACTGTGTAGGAAACGGTAGAAATACCTAGACTAGAAATACCTACCTAACCACAACAGAGACACTGTAATTCGAAACTATTTAAGGATACACACAGACCTCACAATATCCTACGTACAGTCGGATGTTGGAGAGCCTGTGAAGGCAGTGATGAGACAGAATTAGAGGTGAAGGCTAACAGGTGTTGGATTGTGGCAGAAAGGGGATCAGAATTCAGAGTAGAAGTGAAAATGGGAAAGAAAAGGTAGAAATGAGGTCTGGTGGGGCGCCTGGTTGGCTCAGTTGGCTAAGTGTTCAACTTCAGTTCAGTTCATGATTTTGCACTTCATGGGTTTGAGCCAGTGTCGGGCTCTGTGCTGACAGCTCAGAGCCTGGACCCTGCTTCGGATTCTGTGCCTCCCCCTCTCCCTGCCCTGCTCGCACTCTGTTTCTCTCTCTCTCAAAAATAAATAAATGTTACAAAAGAAAAGAAAAGAAAAGAAATGAAGTCTGGCCTGTCCTGACACCAAACGATGGTGGACAAAGGACAGATTCCCAGCTCTGACACACATCTTTCCCCAGCCCCATGGCACCAGGGCCACGTGCTTTTGAGTGCCTCTTGCCACTGATGTAGTAATGCCGGCCTATTAGGTACCCAGGGTCCTCCCCATGGCTCAAGGTGAGCACTGATGTGGCACCTGAAACAGGCCAGGCCTCAGCGAAAGGAAGGAAAAGGAATGGCCAGCACATGACCAGAGCAACTCAACACAGGACATCTGACATCTTAAAATTCCAAGAACTTCACAGGAGACACTGTAGAAACAACCCAGTGTGCCCTCAAATTAGTAACTAGGTTGGTGCCTGCCATTCCTGGCACAGGCAGGAGGACCCAAGAAATGTCAGCAGGAGGAAGGGGGAAAGCCTGGGGCACCGCGGTTCCAAGCATCTAGACTAAGTGACCACATCAGGGACAAGCCAGGCCTGAGGGATCTCTCAGACAAACATGAACATCTCGGACTTCTGAGCCCTGGGACCTGCTGGGGAGGAGCGGGTGCAGGGCGCACAGCCCAGTCCTGCCAGGAGACCAGGAGAGGAGGAAGGACCCTTGGTCTTGCGGGAAGGACAGAGCTACCCCTGGGGAAAAGGGGCAGAACAGAGCCCAGCCCAAGACGCGGGGCTCAGTGTGAGGGCCTTACCTAGGGAGGACAGAAGCGCCAAGTTCTCCATCATCACAGCACGGTACAGGAGTCTCTGAGCTCCATCAAGGAGGCCCCACTCTTCCTGGGAGAAGTGTATGGCCACGTCCTCAAAGACCACGCGGCTCTGCCAGAATTGGATCGGTTTGGCTCATGAACAGCTTCTTATGTTGACTGTGTCCTGAGAATTCTGTATTTATCTATTGGCCATCCACTAGTTACAGGGCTAAACTGACGGTCAAATCCGTTTGGATCTCCTCTGATACCCAGAGCCCACACTCTGAGCCACCTCCTTCACTGACTCACACAAGTCAACACCACCCCTGCCCCCCGCCCTCCATCAACCAGGGCCAGGTACCAGACAACCAGGGCCATCTCTTCTACCCCAGATACACTAAAATTATACAGAATAGCCATCCCTAAGCTTTTCGCCCTACCCTTCCTGCATTTCTCCCACAAAGTCAAATAAACTCTGCTAAAATGATTCCCTTTGCTGGTGGTTATGCCTCCTAACCAAATCTGATGCTCCCGTGTGGCCCTGTGTTACACGGTGTGCTCCCACCTCCTCGACAAATAGAATAAAAAACCTTTCAGCGTCATCGGTCTCCACATCATCGCTCGCCCGCTTCCGTGAACTGAAATCCTGTGAGTGCCATTCCTGATACACTTCTCTCCCCTGGACCTTCGGTCCTCCCCCACACACATCCATCCCTGCTCACCCTCCTCCCGACTTCCCAACGTCGAAGACTCACCAACTGCTGGCGGCACTGGCGCCTGCTCTCCTTACCACTGATCGCCGTGTTCAGAGCACAGCATGAAGGGAGGAAGACCCCACGTAGCCTGTGGGCTCAGCGATGTGGGCCTCTCCCCATCTCCCGCTGGCCAGTTTCCCTGGGGTTCCCTGGGTCGGACTCTCCAGTGAACTCGGACTCGTCCCTTTCCCTTAAGCACCTGGAGCTATCCACACTCCTCTTTACCTGCATATCGCTCCTGGGACTCCTCTCCCTCCCGACGCTGACCCCTCCACAGACACCCCCCAGACATCCCGGGCCCACGCTGGCATTTCCTTCACTTCCCCAGAGGCCATTCTGCACATGGAACCCAGGCAGTGCATGGAGATGCATCCAGGACCCAATTCAGGCCCAGTTCTGCCCCTGAACACAGGGAGTCCCCAGGTCCCCCAGCGCCAGGCCAGCCTCCAGCCTTGCTTTAAAGGTCCCCCTGCCAGGCCCTGCTTCTTGCTTCATCCTCAGCCACCCTGCCCACGTGAGGACCTCACATACCTTCAGCCCCTGCACCTTCTCTATTCCACCCACCGCCCCATAACCAACTGTCCCATAAGTAATCAGAACCTCCCTGTCTCCTTTGAAGGCCAGGGACACTCATGTCGCACCCACACACCCATCCACGTTAGGTCTGGCAGCTCTTCAAGCTGATCCACCGTCCCCTTAACATCTAGCTCATGTGCACGCCGGTCTCAGAAGACTTTCTCGCTCCTACCCCACCATCTCTCCCTCTCTGTTCTGTCTCTGTCTCTCACACACACTCACACACAGACACTCCGATTCCTCAGCTTTAGGGGGCCTGGAACCCCACCCAGGTGCCCAATCAAGGAACCCCGTACTCAGGCCACACCCTTTGTCCCATCCCTGCCCCCCTAATGGCATCGCCCCCACGACCTAGCGATGCTACCTCCCGGAGCTGGTCCACAGCTCCTCCGAGCCCACACCCAGCCCCCACGCTGCGGCTGCCTCCAACCTGAATCTATCCCCGGAGCTCCAGACCTCCGTGTCAAAGTGCCCACGTGACCCCTCCCCTTGGGGCCCCTGGAATATCTGAGACTAGAGAAAAATGAAGTCTTCACATTCCACCTGGAAAGTCCTCATACAGCTGACTTCCTCCATTTTAGTTGAAGCACCCATCCTTGCAAACAAGGCCAAAAACCCGGGCACCCCAACCCTTCCCTCTATCCCACCTCCTCATCTCCCCGAGTCTCTCCATCACAAAATATGAGCAGCCCTGATTCAAAATACACCCAGAAACCAGCGACTCCTCTACTTCCACAGCCACCGCTCCCATGTAGCCACAGCACTCACCCACACTGTCGCCCGGGGCCTCCCTACCTTCACCCACACCCCCTCCCCCCTGTGTTTTCCACTCCGCAAAGGGAGCCTGTTAAAATTGGGGTCACACCACCTTCCTCTTCTGTTTCAAACCTTCCCTGCTTCCCACCAACCTCAGATTGGAGACCCCAAACCCCAGCTGTCACTGAAGGTCTGGTACCCGTGCACCCCTACCTACCCCCAACCTGGCTTCCCATTCTTACCAGGTATGAGAGACCTGTAGTTTCCCCAACATCCCAGCTAAGTCGCACCTACAGGCATGTGAACATTCTGAATCCTGCGGCCAGGATTCCCTGCCACGTCTTACCACATCACTTGTTAGAAACGGGAACCCCTCCACATACAATCTAATACCAAATGTAGGATCCCGGGCCTGAGGGAAGCACATGGTCCTCAGGCTCAAGAGAGCGAGGACAGGAGAAGGCTCCTGTGACAGGCCACTGCCACTCCCTGGGGGCATATACACAGCATGCCAAAACTATCTGGGTGACAATCGGGATGGCTGAAAGGTGCGACACCCTCCACTCACCTGCACGGGGTCCATAAGCATTTCTGCCACCGCCATGGGACCCTATGGGAAGGAGACAGGAGACCATGAAAAATGGGTAACCGTGGAAGGATCTTATGAACTGAGCTGGACCACCAGCTGTGCCCTGCCCTGGAGCAAAGTGATCTCAGCCTCGTGGTCTAAGTTCAGCTCCTCAAAAAACAGGTTGCCTCTTATGGATGGGGTAACTGAGCATCCATGGGAAACCCTGAGCATCCCTGAGCCTAAGGGGGAAAAGTGCTTATGGGGATAAGAATGCTTTCAACCTCATTGGGTTCATATTGGTACCGAAACGTCAGGAGTACATACTATGTAACAGATCTTACTGTCCATAGAATCCAGTTTTGTGGATTTTCAGGGCAAATGAAGTGCTAGGATTTTGAAATTTAAGGTCTTTATGTTTACTGCTTTTTATGATTTCAGGAAATGTACATCAAACTTTATATTGTAAACAGATTAAAATTAATCTCAAATAAATTACGAAGTGTTTGCATAAGTTTAACTTGTTAAATAGGTTCATTTCTAATTATCTACCCATGTATACATATTTAGAAGAATTTTTTTTAATGTCTTATTTAGAGAGAGAGAGAGAGTGAGCAGGGGAGGGGAGGAGAGAGAGCGAGACACAATCCAAAGCAGGCTGCAGGGTCCGAGCTATCAGTACAGAGCCCGACAGGGGGCTGGAACTTACAAACCGTGAGATCACGACGTGAGCCGAAGTTGGATGCTTAACCGACTGAGCCACCCAAGTGCCCCATACATATTTAGAAGAATATTAATTAGTGCTTAAGTCAACAAATTTTTTTATACATTCTTACGTTGGCCAGTTGTAGGAAAAGGCTGGGTACGCAGACAAGCTGCTGGTCCACACAGCGACAAGAACTGCTGCTACTTAATCCTCAGAAGGGGGCTTGTTGGAGGCCCTGGACCGGACAGCGGCTCATCCCACTGGCCCTGAGGGGTAGGGGTGACAAGCATGCCCTGTGTGGGACCTCGCCACTCCATCAGCCTGGAGGACATTTCCCTTGCTCCACAGAGAGTGGTCCTGAGGGTCGGCTGAGCCCACAGGTGTAGAGTACACACACTGCCCCACCGAAAGGCAGTTCCTCACCCCACCAAGGCCTCCCTTCCTAGAGATGCAGAAGGATCTCTCCTACAGCAAATCTCTTTTCCGGAGGAAGCATCAGGGATGCCAACGCCTGCTTCCCATGCCCTACCCGCCAACTCTCAGCCCTCAACTCCCTCATCATCTGAAATCATCTTAAGACTCCCTCCTTGGTCGGGTCCTCAGGCCAGGCTCTGGAGCAGTGCACACCCTCCACACCTCGGACAGCTCCAGCCCAGCTCCCTTCCCCGTCCTCCAG